GGCAGGGGGACCCGGCATGGCAGAGCCCACGGGGAGCAGCAACTGTGAAGGGTGGTGGGCAGGAGCCCAGGCTGGAGCGGGTCAGTCCAGGCCACTGTGAGGAGTCCCGGACCCTTCACCTGCCCTGGACAGTGGGCAGGGACACATGCCGGGGGCTGCTTTTGGGCACCCCAGACCCCCCACCCAAGCGAACTGCTGGAGCTGGGTGCCTGGCCAGCAGCTTCTGCTCTCTCCACTCTCCCTTCAGAGATGAGTGGCTGGAGAGCAGCAGCAGATGCTACGGGGTGGCTAAGGCAAATTTTGGGGTGGCTATAGTCCCTGCAACCCCCCCCCCCCCCGTGCTGTCTCTGTTGGTGGACTCGCTTTCAGAAAGGTTGTTGTTTTGCTACTGCTATTTTAGACTTAATTGGACTGCATTTTTAAAGTACCTGTCATAGGCAGCTAAAGCCTGAGAGAAACAATCTTTTTGTGTTTATATATTTAAATAAAATAAAACAGGCAACTTCTTACTTCAACATATCTGTTCCCAGTGTGAGAAACAAATGCTTCCTTTACTGACTCAAAGAAGTACTGCTAATGCACAATAGAGCTGGTTGAAATAGTTTGTGGAGGTGATTTTTTTTTATGATTAAAAATAGCTTTTCAACCAAAACAAACATTTTGGTTAATTTTTTTTTAATAAAAAATCAATTTTTTTTCAGCAATTTTTTTTACCCAAAATAGTTTTCATAGAACAGAAAAACATCAGTAATCAAGTTTTCATTAAAAAAAATATTGGGAAATTAGGCAAAAAGAAACAAAAACAGAAAACTTAAAAACATGTCCTGGCATTTATCTACCAGCTTCAGGGCTTCAGAATCAATACACCTGTGGAAGGACAAAACGGATTTGTGCATCCACAGCAAAATTGTCAGCCAAGGCTTCAGTCTTGCTAGTGTATCTGTACAGGTGCAAGGCTCCACCTGTGTAGAGGCAGTAGTACAACTGAGGCCTAAGTGCTGATTGCCAAATCTTTATTACTTCTGTGTTTTAAGAGGGAGAAAGGAAATACTGCTTGACTTTCAGAGCTGGCCAACAATCAGAAAAATCATTCTTTGATTTATAAACCAAGCAAATCTGAAAGAGAAATTATCAAGAGAATAAATGGTGAAACTCCACAATGTCATTTTTTCAGAGACACTTTTAAGAGGATAACTGTACTTCAATAACCCCCTTTTCCATGGCTGTTGACTTCATAAACTTAACTGTACATAAGGGCATCAGTCAACCACTAACTGTCTTGGGTTAAATCCAGCTCACAAATAGAAAGGTACCATCAACCTTACTAATAATGGTTTTCACATATATTAGAGTAATTAAAAGTGAAATACATCATTTTTAAATGTATGTTGATAGCATTTATATCTTCAAGTGTTTCTCTTTCCTCTCCCTCCCCCCATTATATTTGACAACAGGGAAGAATCTACTTTTTTTTCAATTTTTACACTAAGTTTCTGATTTCTATTAGCCCTGACTATCTCCTTAACTTGTCAAGCAATTAAAGTGACAAAAGTAATAGCAGATGCTTCTTTTACAGCTAAACCTATGGCAGGCAGGTCATATTTTGCAGTTTATTACAACCACTTGACACAGTCTTGATTGTAAGGTAATTGAAAAGATCCTGATAGTAAACCACTGGTTTACTTTTTTCAGATGAAATAAATATATAATCCAATTTCAACCTCATTTTAATGGCACATTAGATGGTCTCCAACTTGTCTTGATTTTTATTTTATTTGATGATTGTAAATAAACCCTGGAAAATTCCTTCCAAGATTTTACCACCTGAAACTGCAGCTGTTGCCTGACACTATCAAAGCCTCGCAATTCCAAACTCACGTGCAAATCTCATCAAGTGCAGACATTTCTAATTGGTTCCAGAAGTTTTTCTTTTTGCTAAGATCAGGGGGCAGAGGAAGAATAATGAGGAGCTTTTAAGCGGAGGGGGGAAGGAGGGAGGGTGTTGAGCTTGGGGAGTGGAGATTTTAAAAAGCTCCAGCTTGGCTGCTCTGCCAGAAACGCGGAGCAATTTTACGGTCAATTGGCCAGAGCATCTGGAACCATACATCATAGTCTTTAGTTGACGGTGGTGAAGCCGACTCACACATTGGCTCAGGCTAAAACCAGTAATGACTCTGCTGTCACACCTAAATGGAAACTAACTTAATCTACTGCCAGGTTTAACTGTGACTTTTTCTAAGGGACATTATTCCTCTTAGGGCAGTTGTCAAGAATATTAAAAGTTCAGTCCACTGAATGCTCACGACACACTATGGCAGACTTTTATGAGCAAAGCTAACATATAAAATAAAGATTACAACTTGTGTTTGTTTAGCTCCATATGTGTTGACAAGGCTTTTTATCATGAGGCTGTAGGGTTTCCTCCCATCCCTCCTCCTTCCACCTTCATTTTAAAAATATATTTCATATGCACCAGCCTACCTTGTTAGTGCATGGAGACTGCATAAATGCTGAAGTCATAAATCACAGCCCAGGGTATGGAGCATTCAACCTAATGGAAGCCAAATATGAGATGTACTGCATTTTGAAATGTGGCACAGATGATCATAATGAGGGGCAGAGCAAAAATTCCACAGAGCAGAAAACTAAGGTTGATGTGGAAATAATTCCTTGTGAGTAAAGGTTTGTTTTAAGTCAATGGTCATAAGTCTCCGTTCTAAGGCTGGTAAATTGCATTAACAAACAAGTGAGGTAACAGCAAGTCTCTGCATGATGTAAGAAGTCGCAAGTCAGCAGCATGGTAATACATCACATTCAGAGGGACTGCTATAAGGTAAGGAGTACAGTGCAAAGCAGTACTTTTAAATATATATCCACTCTATATTTTTATCCAGACAAATTCATTAACATACTATTTAGAAACACAGGAATTGCACACTAGATCAGAGTAGTGGTCCATCTAGTTCAGAATGCTGTCTCCAACAGCATTGAGCACCAGCTGCTTCAAAAGAAGATGCTAGAAAGATGCTGCAGAGGTTAGTTGTGGAATAAGCTGACCACAAGGAAGTTTCTCTCCAGCCTTCATTAGTTAGAAGCTGGCTTATGCCCTGAAACATGAGGTTTTACATACCTTCCAAAACTCTGATTTTTCTTTAATCCTCATACAACCCATGCCAGAGTCAAATTGAAAAGAAAACAGAAATACTTTATTTTAAAAGTGTTGTTTGCAATGTTGTTGTAGCCATGTTGGCCCCAGGATATGAGAAACACAAGGTGGGTGAGGTAATATCTTTTATTGGCTCAACTTCTCTTGGTAAAAGAGACAAGGAATAAGATCTCTGTCGAGCTCAAAAGCAAGTCTCTTTCACCAACAGAAACTGACCCAGTATGTTAATGTGAATTAGGCACCTTTTAGCTTGTGCCAGCAGCACCCACACTGGGCAGTTACAGCGCAACTCTCTGGTGTGGTGTGCAATTCGCAGTGTAGACATAGCCAGAGTTCCTTAAAATTTAAAAGCATGGCCTCCTATCTCAAGGCTTTGTTACCAATATTCTGTATCTATAAGAGCTAATAAAGCCCTCCATAGTCAGGTTGTTTGCAGGGAAGCACAGAGCTCATCATTAACTGCATGAGCACTTACATCAGTCAGTATGTTTAGCCTTCTGAAAACATTCAGAAGGGCATTCACACTGGGCATGGTCAGAGGTTTTACACAGCTATTAACGGGCAAGTTTTGCATCAATGGCTCAAATGATCCCAATAAAACACAGTCAGGCTACCTTAAAATGTAGAGTGAGCATTTCAGTATTACTTTAATTTAATGTAGATCATTTAAGACCTCTTTACTCAGCTCAAGTCTAATACAGACAGCTTCAGTTGGACCAAATTTTGACTTTAATTTCTATTAGGTGTAACTTGCTCACAGAAAAACTTGCCTAAGTTTTTCAATATGTTCTTTAAGGTCCCTAACCCAAATAAAATTAGCATCCATTATAACTTCAACATCATCTAATCATTGAAATATTACTGCAATTACTCCTTCAGATACCCTGGGAGCAGTGCCAATACCAAACATCATTCATTTACATGTATAATGGTTTATTTAAAATCACTGCTGAATATAGAATATGAATATAGAAAATACTAGGGTCAGATTCTGTTTAGCTCTTATGCAGGTAGGCCGATGACATTCATAAAGTAACCTCCCTTACTCGGTCTGTATAAGGGCCTGCCAGAACTGTAGCTCTTACTCTCTGGGAAGAACAAGGGATGCTTCCTTCCTGCTCCGCCAGATACACACAGCTTCCCCAAGGCAGTGGAGAGTGATGGAAAGGAAGGGACATGTTTCTGTTGCAAAAAAAAGCGAACATCATTCTGAGATGTATTAGCAGGAGTGTTGTAAGCAAGACACGAGAGGTAATTCTTCTGCTCTACTCTGCCCTGAGTAGGCCTCAACTGGAGTATTGTGTCCAGTTCTGGGCGCCACAGTTCAGGAAGGATGTGGACAAACTGGAGAGAGTCCAGAGAAGAGCAACAAAAATGATTAAAGGTCTAGAAAAGATGACCTATGAGGGAAGATTGAAAAAAATGGGTTTGTTTAGTCTGGAAAAGAGAAGACTGAGAGGGGACATGATAACAGTTTTCAAGTATGTAAAAGGTTGTTACAAGGAAGAGGGAGAAAAACGGTTTCTTCTTAACCTCTGAGGATAGGACCAGAAGCAATGGGCTTAAATTGCAGAAAGGGAGGTTTAGGTTGGACATTAGGAAAAACTTTCTAACTGTCAGGGTGGTTAAGAACTGGAATAAATTGCCTAGGGAGGTTGTGGAATCTCCATCATTGGAGATTTTTAAGAGAAGATTAGACAAACACCTGTCAGGAATGGTCTAGAGATAATACTTAGTCCTGCCAAGAGTGCAGGGGACTGGACTAGATGACCTCTCGAGGTCCCTTCCAGTCCTATGATTCTATGATTCTTCTCCCCCATGCACTGGCCAGAAGAGCTGGTTGATCACCCAGAAGTTGCGTTCACCTACTGCACACTTGAGAATGCCAGAAGGCAAAGTGCATGCCAGTAAGTGACCATCTAGTCTATCTCTGAGGCAGAATGGTTCTGCACCACCCCAGCACATGTCTATGCCTACAAGACACAATCAGTCTCTAACAAGGGCATAAGGGGAGCCTGGGTGTGGGGATGTGTGTTAAGTCATAAAGGATATATATATAAAGGACAACAAACATGAAGTTGTAATGATAAAGCAGAAGAGAACAATCTGGCAATGAGGAATTGATACTTGTTCCAGTTTGTGATCCACCTCTTGACCGCTCTAAAATCTCACGAATCTGACACATTTCAGGCAGAAACTCATAGTTTTTGTGTAATGCGTATCTGACTACAAGAGAATAAATATGAATAAGGTTTATACTTACCCAAGCACATTTCAAATGATTCAGGATAGTGCATGGCAAACAGAATCTGCCACAGAACTGGTCCAATGAGCACCATAGACTTATGAACTCTGGGATAGAATTAGCCACTACATTCTAGGTACACAGAATATTGTCATCATACATATTGCAATTTATACTAATTTTCTTTATTTTCCTAAATCAGTATCCAAAAAGACAACATACATATATCAACAAAGTGAATTAACAGAAGTTGGAGTAAGAGAAATTTAAACTACCACCACACAAAAATCTATAACTGGTACACAAATACATTTTGCAATGGGTATATTAGATGTGTGAAAGTAGAGAATGAGAAAGAATGTGTGTGTATGTGTACTTCAGATTAAAAAGAGTGAATGAAAATGATTGAACTAATGTCTGTCTCAAGTGGTGAATAAGACTGGTGTCTGTGTGTGAGAGAGCAAGGGAAAAAGGGATGTGTAGATGAGCAGATGAAAAATTGTAAGGACAAAGGTGGCAGAAGTAAGGATAATCATTTCACATACTAGACAGATTAATGTTTGTGTGTGTCACAATATATCATTGTACAAGTATAACTAGGTTAAGTGAGTAGTTTTGATTGATCTCCCTTAGCCCTAACCTCAGGATCTGAGGGATTCTGGGAAAAGTTGTCTAAATTTTTCACCTTTGGGTCACTGGTTTCAAATTCACCCAGATTAGTAACAACCAGAAACTATTACCATCTGAAATCTGTTTGACAGCTTTTTTGCATGAGTTGGTGATCTTGGTCCTTCTTTTTGGGTGATTGCATCATAAAACCCACTATCACAAATTACCATCCTTTAACAGTCCCAGCAGGGAGTACAGAAACTGAATGTAAAGGCAGAATAAAATATCTTCTTACCCACAAAGGTAAACCTTCTAGATCATGGCACCCTTGAAGGAAAACATGAGGAACCGTGCCATATCTTTGGGGTGTCTACACTGAAATAAAACACCCGTGGTTGGCCCACGTCAGCTGACTCGGGCTTGTGGTGCTTGGGCTGAGGGACTAGAAAACTGTAGTATAGATGCTCAGGCTTGGGCTGGAGCCAAAGCTCTGGGACCCCGGAATGGGGGAGGGCCCCAGATCCCAGGCTCCAGCCTGAGCCTAATACCTACTCTGCAATTTTACAGACCTGCAGCCAAGCCCCAGGAGCCTGAGTCAGCTGACAGAGGTCAGCCTCGAGTGTTTAATTGCAGTGTAGACATACCCATAGTGTACCTGTTCTGTAGTAAACGGAGGACTTGATGTGTCCAGTGCTATCAGCTTGGCAATTTACAAGCCCTATATTAACTTTAAGAAACTACATCTGCTGTTTCATATTCTGGTCTGTCCACTGGCAAATTACTTGGATGACACTTGCTCTTGCGATATTTTCAAAGAAAACTACCAATGATACTACAAATGATGACTAGCCAGCCAGTACAAAATAAGAAGGGAGACAAAAAGAAAAGGGACCAGGGAAGCAATCAAATGGGAAGGCCAATATGAGGAAAAGAGAGAAAAAGACTGAAGAAAGAAGAAAGAAATAACCAAAAAGAGAAGAGGGAAGAGAGAAAGGAAGGGGAAAGGAGTTACAGAAGTAGTCAGAGACTGAAGGGAGTCAATACTTTAATGAAGAAAATCAATTAAGAAAAGAATAAGAAACAAAATGTTTTTTTTAAAAAATTTAATATTAAGAGAAAATAATTGCATTTTATTTATTGCATATTTTTACACAATAAAGTAGGAAACCATAAAATTACTTCAGAACTAATCAGGACAATGTCCTGGAAACAAAGACTATGAATATTTGTTGTTTTCTCTGAACCTTATCTTACTTATATTTTTACACTGACACAGACACACACACACAAACACATACTTGCCTGGGAGAATGATAAGTCAAATATTCACATAAGTCAAGGTTATATTCATATAACTCCCATTGAGTTGCATGTGTATTTCAAATCAGATGATAACCCTTGTGTGATAGGGCATGTACCCCACTCAAGCCCTGAATGGGTTAATGTGTGCCTAAGAGGCCAATTTTGTTACCTAACTGCACCTGGAGGGAGAGACAGGCTTAACTGATCATGAAGCCCAGCTCAGCAGGAACAAGCTGGTTAGCATAAAGCAAGGAAGTTTATAGCAGAGGGGGCTGCAGGGAGAGAGTCTGAAGTCACTATTTGGGCACTAGAAGGTGGAGACATCTGGTAGGCACAGGACTGGAGCAAGCTGACCTGACATTTGTAAGTGGGTCATAGAATCATAGAATATCAGGGTTGGAAGGGACCTCAGGAGGTCATCTAGTCCAACCCCCTGCTCAAAGCAGGACCTAATCTCCAACTAAATCATCCCAGCCAGGGCTTTGTCAAGCCTGACCTTAAAAACCTCTAAGGAAGGAGATTCCACCACCTCCCTAGGTAACCCATTCCAGTGCTTCACCACGCTCCTAGTGAAGAAGTTTTTCCTAATAGCCAACCTAAACCTCCCCCACTGCAACTTGAGACCATTGCTCCTTGTTCTGTCATCTGCTACCACTGAGAAAAGTCTAGATCCATCCTCTTTGGAACCCCCTTTCAGGTAGTTGAAAGCAGCTATCAAATCCCCCCTCATTCTTCTCTTCTGCAGACTAAGCAATCCCAGTTCCCTCAGCCTCTCCTCATAAGTCATGTGCTCCAGCCCCCTAATAATTTTTGTTGCCCTCCACTGGACTCTTTCCAATTTTTCCACATCCTTCTTGTAGTGTGGGGCCCAAAACTGGACACAGTACTCCAGATGAGGCCTCACCAATGCCGAATAGAGTGGAATAATCACGTCCCTCGATCTGCTGGCAATGTTCCTACTTGTACAGCCCAAAATGCCGTTAGCCTTCTTGGCAAGAAGGGCACACTGTCGACTCATATCCAGCTTCTCATCCACAGTAACCCCTAGGTCCTTTTCTGCAGAACTGCTGCCTAGCCACTCGGTCCCTAGTCTGTAGCAGTGTATGGGATTCTTGCGTCCTAAGTACAGGACTCTGCACTTGTCCTTGTTGAACCTCATCAGATTTCTTTGGGCCCAATCCTCTAATTTGTCTAGGTCCCTCTGTATCCTATCCCTACCCTCCAGCGTATCTACCACTCCTCCCCGTTTAGTGTCATCTGCAAACTTGCTGAGAGTGCAATCCACGCCATCCTCAAGATCATTAATGAAGATATTGAAAAAAAACAGCCCCAGGTCCGACCCTTGGGGCACTCCACTTGATACTGCCTGCCAACTAGACATAGAGCCATTGATCACTACCCGTTGAGCCCGATGATCTAGCCAGCTTTCTATCCAGGCTGGTATGTCCCCCTGGTGACTAAACAGCATACATAGTCCACCAGACAACCTTCACCAAGTATTTTTTATGATTGTTTCACCTTTGTGCTCCAGGTACAACACCAATATAGCAGCAGCAGCTAGCAGGAGTCCCCTCTTGCTGCCTGGCTCAGCCTTTTACCTACTTGCCTTCTTCTCCCAGTTATCCAGCTGGTAAGCTAATTACCTCATCCCCTTCTCCACACGTGCCAGTGATCCCTTCTAATTTTCCAAGCCAGTTCACTACCTAACTCCCTCCTACTCTAACCCTGAGTGCTCTACGTGACCAGAGTCTTGGCTTCCAGAAAGCTCTATTTATAGCTGCTAAGAGTGCCCTATCACACCCTGGGAAGCAAAATAAACACAGGACAATTAATTCTATGTTTAAAATATATCTATTACACTAGTTTACTCAATGTACACTAACATTTTTTTCCCCAAATGCTAGGCCCTTCATACTTAAAACAAAAGCCATCATGAAATCCATAAAATGTGGGCTTTAACTCTGACATAGACTGATTAAAAGAAAATAAGACACTTGTTGATTTTAAAATCAAGGCTATGACACCAATATAACAATTACCAAAAAGTTCAAAATAATTTGTAAATAGTGACACTTTGCTAACCAGCTTTACATTTTGTCTAACAATTATTGTTTCCTGTGCTAGGGGGCAAGAACACTAGAATAATATATTTTTCCATGATGATATTGTCTGCTGTCAGGGAAAAGGCAATAGAATTGGTACCATTTTCAGAAACACCCGATTAACAACGTCTTGGGGGTCAGATCTTTAACTGAGGTAAATTGGTGTAACTCCACTGAAGCTGACAGAGCTATGCCAATTTAGACCACTTCAGGATCTGGCCTTTGATCTTTCTGTTTCTAAACCAAAAGATACATATATGTCCTAGTTTTTAGAGGAATTTTCTTTTGCTCAGGGAAAGACATTTGAAACTGTTATTCTTAAAACCCCCACTACATTAAAAACACTAAGTTACTATGTTTAATGCATTCTTCTTAAGTAACTCACTTATGCTAAATAGCTTGCTGCATGTTTGCTTGGCACTTCATAAAGCTATCATACAGTCAAATGATTGCATTGGACCCTTCAGATCATCATCCAGCCAAACCCAAAAGTAAACTTTATTTGTTAACCAATCTCTCAATAGTGCAGTGAACCATTCATAAAACCAGACTTGCACAACCCTAACATCTCCTCATCTGGAAACTAATCATCGATTCCTTAAGAATGTGGTACAGTTTGGAGTCATATGAAAAGTATCATTTTAATATAAAATACACACCTATATTTTGGGAAACTCAAGTGCAGAGAAACCAAAAGTCATACACAGTAAACACAAAAGTGTCATAATGAGGGTGTGAAATCAGGCAACACAAAGTCAATCTCAACATCATGATAACTGAGCATGCCTCTTTGGGTTGCTGTCAAATCCTGCAGAATAATTAAGATCCAGGAATAAATTAAATCTGGAGGTTGGGCAGCACATGAGGGTATTTCTTTCGAAGTTTATGGCCAGCAATATATTATTTTTACTTAGCAGAATAACACACATTGTTGTCTCTGACTTTTTTTGATTTGATACATTATGTACCAACCACAATTAACAATTTCTCCTATGGTAAAGCCTCAAAATGTATGAGAAATATGATAAAAGGCTAAGAAAAAAATTCCCAAATTCTAATCGATTGTACAGTCAAAAATATGTATCAGAAATATATACTTCTAAAGGCAACCCATAATCTTAAATTGGCAAAATGACTCATTTTCTGAAAAGGAAAAAAAAATCTAGCGTCCCTAGGGTCTGCAAATTGCGTGCATCATTCTTAAAAACAAATATCTTACCTCATAAGTAAATGCCAAGGAAGCAATGTATATTTTCAGGTAACTAAGTTTGTGCAGAGCTAGAAAGACTGAGCAGCGGACAACTTCCAAACTAGCTGCTTTGGGCCTAGAAATAAGAATTAAAATTAATGTTCAGTCTTTTCTCCTTTGCATGTAATCTGTTGAGTACTTCAGTGACAAATAGGAATACAGAACAAGGCACTGATGATATCCTGTAGTAATATGCAGTTGCAACTGAGTTTTCACTATAAATCTGATTTAAAGTTTACAATTTAAAACCTTAGCTCTGAATTTCCTGGATTAGTAAACTTGATTTGGGAATCATTTCGATATCTGAGTAATGTGTTCTACCTTAAATTACTGATATATATATACTCTCAATCTTAATTCTATTTTAATGTAGTTTTTGCCTGGGAAACTCTGAATAAAGCTGTAACCTATTAATCCCTATTGGTGGAGTAAATTATTTATTATACAAGAGGTGAGGGTAAGAATGGGGCATGGCAAAATTATGAAAAATTCCTAATGAATAATTTGAGCCTCTCTTTACACAATTCTAATTTTCCTTTATTTACACCCATCCACATTTTAGCTGCATAAATTCTAAACTTCTCCTGTACATTGCCAAATTCTTTCCCTGTGCTGAAATAAACAATTTAGTGTGTAAAGATCAAAGGTATTTACCTCTGAATGTCAAACAGAGCAGGATTGTCACTGGAATGTTAAATGAAGACATAACCATGTATTTAAATAGTTGCATAGTTTTCAGGCAGGCTGAATACCATTTCTCTCTACAGTTGTTTTCCATTATTTCTTAGGTCCTTACTCATGTTGAGTAGCCCGACAGTCCAACTCATGGTGTTGGGTACTATTTATAAGTGCATCACAATTTGGTCCATACATTGCAACGTGCAAGTAGGAAGTCCACGCATTTGATTAACATTATAGTCGTTTGATACTTTAATGGTTGCCATACTTTATAAGTGATTGTGGTAGCCAATGGACTTTTTTTTTTCACAGCCAGGAAACAAGAAAAGGAAGAAAATGTTTCATGTCTTGCCTTTGCTCCAAAAGGAATCCAATGGAGGTCAATGTCAGGATAATGTAGCCAATCCTCAGGAGAAGAGTTACCTGTGATAATGTCTGTTAAAACAACAAAGAGGCAAATTACTCATTTAGGGTAACTCTCTGAAGGGATATTGGGTTCTAAACATGACACTGGAGCAGCCTGAACTTTCACTCTCAATTATACATTAGTGTTTCCTTTTAAAGTAGTTTGATATTTTGAACTTTAAAAAAACCCGTGCCAGATTCTCCAACCCACTCCCTAAATGTTCTTATTTTTGCTTCTTGGAAGCTACAAGAATCAGATTTTTCCCAAAATAATTCTTATCATAGGATTAATCTTCAAAATATTTTTTTAAAATTTTCATTACTGTTTCCCCCCTGAAATTATTTGAACCCTTCATACTGGTACCCAAAAGCAAACAGCTATTTTTTCTAAATATTTTTCTAAATATTTTTTCTAAGCCCAGCCTGCTCTTTTTCCTGTTCATAATGTCATTGCAGCTTTGCAATGGTTCCCCAGAGGGTACAGGCAGTTGAAAACAATATTGCTTAAAAAAAATGAAGACGGTTAGTAACCGTTTTTTCTTCTTCAAGTGTTTGCTCATGTCCATTCCATGCTAGGTGACTCACAAGCAGTACCGCTGGAGGTGGGCTCGGAGCTCATGCACATGCTGACTGCAACACTGTTTTTCCATATCGTCACAGGCCTGTTGGGTGATGGCGTAGTGAGAAGTGAAGGTATGAACCAGTTTGCAGCTCAGGTGGATTGGTACCTGCATGAGGAACACTGCTGATGAAGCCTGGACTCTTGTGGAATGAGCGGTCATGATGGCCAGAGGCGGAACCTTCACCTGCTTGTAGCAAGCTTGGATACAGGCGGTTATCCAGAAAGAGATTTTTTTCAGATCTCTCATCCTTTCTGCTACTGCTACAAAGAGTTGCGTTGAGCTGCCGAAGGGCTTAATTCTCTCAATCTAAAAGGCCTGGGCCCGCCTAAAATCCAACATATGATGCTGATGTTTTTCAGTGGTCTTGTGAGGTTTTGGAAAGAAGACAGACAGAAAAATGTCCTGATTGTTATGGAATTGTGATATCACCTTTGGTAGGAAGGCCAGATGGGGGCACAGCTGGACCTTATACTGGAAGAACACTGTATAAGGGGGTTCTGATGTCAGGGCTTTGATCTTTGAGACCCTTCTGGCTGAGGTGATTGCCACAATAAAGGTGGCCTTCCAAGAGAGAAGTAGTAGGGAGCATGATGCTAACAGCTTGAAGGGAGGCCTCATGAGCCTTGACAGGACCAGGTTTAAGTCCCATGTCAAGATTGGTTTGTGAACCTGAGGGTAGAGTCTTTCCAGCACCTTGAGAAACCTGACCATCATCTCATGAGAGAACACTGATCTGCCATTCACTGGAGGGTGGAAGACTGAACTGGCTGCCAAGTGAACCTTAATAGACAAGAGAGACGGACCTGGATGCTTTAGGTTGAGCAGATAGTTCAAGATAGACTTCAGAGAAGATCGGGATGGAGATAGATTCCATTCAGCGGCCCCAAAAGTGAAACGTTTCCACTTGACCTAGTCGAAGATTTTATACTACCTAGCAAGACCTGTCGAACTTGATCAGAGCAGGCCTGCTCTTCAGGGGTCTGCCATGCAGCAACCATGCAGTCAAGTGCAGGGAGGTGAGGTTTGGGTGAAGCAACCAGCCATGGTCTTATTAATTCAAGTCCGGTTGGAGCGGGAGTGCAAGTGGAGCTGCCACCGAGAGGTCCAGAAACACACCAAACCAATGCTATCAGGATAACCCTCGCCTTGTTCCATTTGATTTTAGGAGGACCTTGTAAACCAAGGGGATAGGTGGGAAGATGTACAGCAGGTGGTCTGTCCATAAGACCAGGAAGGCATCGGAGAGGGAACCCATGCTGTGCCTGAGCAATGAACAGAACTGATAGCATTTCCTGTTCTGTGTGGTGGTGAACAGGTCCACCTGGGGAGGCCCCCACTTCTGGAAGATGACACTGACGACCTCCGGGTGAAGGGACCACTCATGGTGAGAGGGAAAGGATTTGCTTAGGCAATCCACCAGTGTGTTTCAGGCTCACAGGAAATGTGACATCTGGAGGTGAATGGCATGTTTCATGCAAAAGTCCCACAGCCAGAGGGCCTCCTAGCACAGGGCTGAAGATCGAGCCTGTCATAACTATAAAGGGAAGGGTAACAGCTCTCCTGTGTACAGAGACTCCAAATCCTTTTACCTGTAAAGGGTTAAGAAGCTCAGGTAACCTGGCTAACACCTGACCCAAAGGACCAATAAGGGGACAAGATACTTTCAAATCTTGGGGGGGGGGAAAGGCTTTTGTTTTGTGCCCTTTGTTTAAGGGGTTGTTCGCTCTTGGGACTGAGAGGGACCAGACATCAATCCAGGTTCTCCCCATCTTTCTAAACAAGTCTCTTATATTTCAAACTTGTAAGTAAAAAAGCCAGGCAAGGTGTCTTAGTTTTACTTGTTTTCTCAACTTGTAAATGTACCTTTTACCAGAGTGTTTATCTTTGTTTGCTGTACTTTGAACCTAAGACAGAGGGGGGTCCTCTGAGCTCTTTAAGTTTGATTACCCTGTAAAGTTATTTTCCATACTGATTTTACAGAGATGATTTTTACCTTTTTCTTTAATTAAAAGCCTTCTTTTTAAGAACCAGATTGATTTCTCCTTGTTTTAAGATCCAAGGGGGTTTGGATCTATATTCAAGGAAGGAGGGGGGAAGGGTCAATTTCTCCTTGTTTAAGATCCAAGGAGTTTGGATCTGTATTCACCAGGGAATTGGTAAGAGGTTTCTCAAGGCTTCCCAGGGAGGGGATCCAGTGGGAATGGTGGCAGCGGGACCAGAGCTAAGCTGGTAGTTAAGCTTAGAAGTTTTCATGCAGGCCCCTACATTTGTACCCTAAAGTTCAAAGTGGGGATACAGCCTTGACAGAGCCCCTACCTGCTTATTGATGTAAAACATTGATGCAGCATTGTCCATCAAGACCTGCACCACTTTGCCTGAGATCTGGGGAAGGAACATCTAGCAAGCCAAGCGTACTGCCCTCAGTTCCCTGATGCTTATATAGAGGGAGAGTTCTTCTTGGGACCACAGGCCCTGAGATTGCCGAGGTGGGCTCCCCATCCCAGGTCTGACACATCCAAGACTAGGGTTACTGATGGTTGAGGGGCAGCAAACAGTACCCCCTCTATTACGGATCCTGGGTCTCTCCACCAGGTCAGCGAAGCAAGGACTAGAGGCAGGATCATAAGTATTGAGTCCAGGTAATGTCTGCTTGGGGAGTAGACTGACGCCAGCCACATCTGTAGGAGTCTGAGGCATAGCCTTGCATACTGCACCATGTAGGTACATACTCCCACATGACCCAATAGTTTGACGCAGACCCGAGCAGTCATTATTGGGTGGATCATGACCTTGGAAATCAGGTCCAACATAGCTCAGAATCAGGCCGCTGCCATAAAAAAGAATGGCCTTCAGCTGAATATCTCTATCCGTTCTCATGCAGGGTTTGAAGTCCCTGCAGATCTGGCACTTCTCTTTAATGCAGGCTCCTCCAGACACTTTAGACAGCTAGTGTGCAGGTCACTAACTGGCATCTGCTTGCCGCACAAGGCACATGGTTGAAGTCCGGGGAAAGGGGCATGCCCTGCCCCAGGGGCAAAAAGTCCCTTGATGACAGGGACAGTAACACTACAATATATAGTAACTCTAACTAAGAACTTTAACACTAACTACAATAACTATACAAATATGAACAAAGAAAGTCCAAACCACTGGGAAAGAAGACTTTCTACAGCAAGAGGCGTTGTTCCAGCAACTGTCACAGGCGGTAAGAAGGAACCGAGAGGGCATGGGGCTGGCGGTGCCCTTTATACTGGCACATATGTGTGTGACTCCAGTGGGCGCTAGAGCCGGCCCAATAGATACCACCGAAGGAAAAATCTCTGAGAACTGTGCATGCAGTGCACACACACCAAGCATGGAGTGGACATGAGCAAGCACTCGAAGAAGAATAGAATTGTTAGCACACTGAGAATCAAGAGTCAATATATTTGTGTGTTTACTTTTCCTTTCTGATGTATAAAGATGTATAAACTTTTGCTTCCCCAAAAGAAAAAAAAAATAAGTTTCACCCTGTTTATGGATTTGAAATGTCAGGAATACCATACAAGGGTTTCCACATGAGAGCTGGTTGATTTTTCTTTAATTGCAATTCACAGGGCTCAAAATGGAGGCATTTTTTCAAATTTTTTGTGACTTCTTTATCAAAATTATTATCAACATTGTTTGTTTACCAATACATAGTTTTCAATAGGCAAAGGGAAAATATTTTGAAAAAAAATGAAAAATTTAAAGATGCTAACGGTTTCCATGAAACCACTTTTCACTTGAAAAATTCTGACTAGCTTTAGTCCTCACTTGCCTCTGTTTGATGGACCTGACATGAGATAGAGAGGACCTAAATAAAGGTGTCACCCAAACTTGAAAACTAAACTGCAGATTTTGCTCCCCACCACTGGGGAAGGAGAAAATACTGAAATTCAGATGGCATCCTGTGAAGATTTATACACATGCATAATCTCACTCATGCGAATAGTCTCCTACAGTGTGTGTGTAAATCTTTGCAGGATTGGGACTCAGTCATCCAAGAATTATCCTTCTGTTCTCCCTAATCTCAGTTTGCAAAGGGAAAATTAAATGCAACCAGTGTGACTGTTAGGTTCCAGCAAAGAGAAGGGAGTATAGATATATTTCTAATGTAAAAACATAAAAGCAAGAAAAAGAACAGAGGCAGTCTTTATATAGACTCAAAGGTAACTAAGCTTTTAGCAGCTGGATTACAATGATATGCAGTTCACATATATAAAGCCCTTGCTCATAAACAATAAGAAAGCAGGGGAAAAATAGGTGCAAACTGTCTACTTCACAGTTTCTGCTTCTTGGACCACTTTTTATTTCTTCTCAGCAACTCTGTCAATTGGGAAGTATAATTTGTAGTGGCATCTGTATCCTTTGTCAAACCTGATGCAGGTACTATGCTTGACAGAAGGAGAGCCTGTAGATCACCATTATTTACAAGTCAAACCTATTCTGACCCTCTTATGCTATGTAGACACGCTGAAAGGAAGAATATATACTGATCACTTGTCTCCCAGGGTACGTCTACACTACCTGCCGAATCGGCGGGTAGGGATCTATCTATCGGGGATCGATTTATCGCGTGTAGTGTAGTTGCGATAAAACGATCCCCGATCACTCTCCCGTCGACTGCTGAACTCCAGCTCGGCAAAAGGCGGAAGCAAAGTCGACGGGGGAGCCGTGGCCGTATATCCCGTGCTGTGAGGACGCGAAGTAAGTAATTCTAAGTCGATCTAAGATACATCGACTTCAGCTACGCTATTCTCGTAGCTGAAATTGCTTATCTTAGATCATTCCCCCCCCCCCCAGTGTAGACCAGGCCCCACTCTCAAAGCGCTCTACTTTCTGAAATGGTGAAGGGTGAATAGGGTGACCAGATGTCCCGATTTTATAGGGACAGTCCTGATTTTGGGGTCTTTTTCTTATATAGGCCCCTATTACCCCCCATCCCCATCCAGATTTTTCACACTTGCTGTCTGGTCACCCTAAGGGTGAACCATGTGACTTTTTTGGCAGGTACAGGTGCAGTATGTGTAAGTTAAGTGCAGTATGTCACAGTAGATGGGGAAAGTGCCACATTCAAGCCATTTCGCATAGCAAAAATGAGTTCCCACATTTGTAGGCTGTTACTGTGGGCTGTCTTTTAAACTTACAATAAACCAAAGTAATCTGCATCCAAATGTAGTGTAATATAATAACAGATTTATTCTAATATATTGTGGTAACAGGAAACGCTGAAAACATCAGCCCATAGTGTAAATGTGTTTATTATTTAACTACTATAACTTTCTTTTTACAGTTCTAACACTGTAGTTACTCCCTAGCATGGTTCCTCAATTTACATTTCAAACTTGTTTCATGGTATCACCCCATAAAGTGGACTCTGGCAGCTGAGCATCAGTTTCCTAAATGTTAATCTATCAAGATCAACAAAAAAGTCAGTAGATTATTTCATTAAACCAAGCACTATATATTAAATGTGTGCATTGCAAGTTGCAGTGAGAAAGGAATGTGCCTTTTACATCTTAGCATTACTACTAGCATCCTCTTTCCACTCCAAAAATTATATGTATGCATAGCTAGATAAAATAAATGAGTATTTATATACTACAGTATTTGAATAAACAGAGAAGCCCGTGAGACCACAGCAGGGTCCCCAATTACAAGTCAGCCACAACTTTTGCAATGTGGTTATTGGCTGCAATCAAACAGAAAAAAATATTTCTGTTGGATTTTGATTTCATTGCAAGCTTTCAAAATGTCACAAAGTTTAAGAAAAGGAGTTATGGAATTTGGGGAAGAAATTTACACTGCTTCCTAATCAACAGACTATTTTTTAGTAAAGAAGAAATAATTTACTCAAACCAAGTAAATACACCATTCAAAATGAATGTGTATTTAGATAAGAGTCAGTTTCCAAATTTACTTTTCGTTTCAAGGGATTTTAGATTATTTTATTTTTGTGAAGTGTCCCACAAAAGTATTTCTCATCCTGGCATATTGCAGAGCTTCAGCCCCTATGAAAGGTGCTGACACCTTTCAGAATTTACCAAACGCTAACAATCTGTACCACATTTTATGTTTCCTCATCTAGCAGCACTAATGCAGAATTCAGTTTTGGTGTTAAGGATGTAGCTTTGTTAAGTTTCTCTATTTAGAGGCTTTTATCTGATCCCCTTAAAACTTCAGTGAGTGCTTAAAAATACAGGACGATGTACACCACCCAATGATGTCCTGTTGCATTAGATTATGATTGTGTTCTCAGCCTTTGAGAGACATGTTTTTATCTTATCTTTTCTCTTGGTCTCATCAAAACTGCTCATGTACTAACAATCTAACAAAAGTACGCATATTAACATGTGCTATAGTATCAATCAGCAATAAGACACTCCAGAAAGTGTTGATTAAAATACACTTTGAGTGATTTTTGTAGTAGATGCAGTTATGAAACTGATGACTTTTGTTTTTAATGTACTGCGGTTTTACATTTCCAGCATTTTCTCTGGGACTGATCCAAAGCCCATTGCCTTCAGTGAACTTTCGCTCAGACCTTGGTGTGCAGAGCTCAGCAGTAACTTTTATTCTCAGAATGTTGTGCAGACTGTTATGGAGAAAAGAAAGACAATGTGCTCTCTCTTGCAGAAAATTTATAATTTGTTCTTTCTTGTTTTGCTGTTTTCTTAAGTTAAATTAAAGGTCATTCTTACTGAAGGTATATGGCTGCTCTTTGTGTATGGAAAAACTTAACACTTTTAAAGGACATGAAACCAAAGACTGAGTGACTCTAATCACATGAGGAATGTAATAACTGTGTGCTGCTCGAGTGTCTTATTGCTATTATGAAATGGAACTTATTCCCCCCAAATTAGGAAAACAGTTAGCTCTTTCCATTTATGGAGCTATGCCATGGTTATGGCATAATTTGTAGCCAAGCAGAAAGTTCCAGTTTTGTCTACAACCATGTACAGGAAAACTGATACTAAATGAAGAATTTGCCAAGTTACGTTATTCATATATGTGCTCTCTTCTTGGGACAGTTTCCCCTCTGTATTTTTAAAAAGATCCAGGAACTTGGTCTTCTGTCCAGCACTGCTTTCTTCAACTTCTTTGGCATTTATTTTCTGAAGTATGGGCACTTCTCTTCCTGTTTTCTCTATTACCCCATTACCTCATGTTTTATGCAGGTCATTTTCTGCTCATTTTGCAACTTTAAATTTACAACAGTGAACCTTCAGGATGGTTCATTTGTGAAATTGGAGAATTTGAAAGAATAATGTTAAAGGGCTTAGGGTTTTATTTAAACTTCCTTTAATCCTTTGACAGCACTTCTTAAACAGCTGCAGTTGTAAATGATAGTACAAAAAATAGCTGGGGCCACATATTCCCCCATCCTGAGGGGAAAAACAAAACAAAACCAGGGCGAAATTCATGTGCAATACACTATAGCTCTTGCTGCTGCAAAGACCCACTGTATGCACACCTAGGTCAATCAGATTTACTGGTGGCAGGGGACATGGCCTGAAAACCATTCATAGCCTGGAGATCCACAATACATGACACTAGAAACTGATCTCTCTCTCATATGCACTGTAGCTCTAGCCCATGCCCTCAGAAATTGCACCACAGCCGTGCACCGTATTACCTTTGGATCCCCAAACCATGGAGACACACGTGACCTGGTGAGGTCACAGGGTATGCAGAATAAGTTGATATTAGTTCAAGCAGAGTTAACTTTTTTCACTTAAATTATGCAGGGATGCTGTGTAAAATAGTTGTTCTTTAACTCCTCTCCCACCAGAATGGCACAATCTCTATTTTGTGTGCTATTCAGACTTTACCTATTTGGTACTGAATGGTTTTGGGAGGCTATATGGTGCCATGGGATCATACCTTATAGCTTGCCACCATGCAGGCCCCAACTCATTGTTGCAGTTTCAGACCATCTTCCTGCCCTACATGTCATGGACTGGAGAAGGAGCATTCGAACCAGAGAACCAACACAAATATTTTGACCAAGATTTTTTGAAAGTGACTACTGATTTTGGAAGCCTACATTTTTGAGTGCCCAATTTCAGACATTTCAATAAGGACTGATCTTTAGAAAGTGCCCAGCACTTATCCTCTAAAAAATCAGGCCTCTAAGTTTTTACCATTGGGCAACCAGAAACTCAAGCACCCAAATTCATTTTTGAAAATGTTGATATTAATTCTTTTATCTGTAATTCCAATAAGTTGGCTTCGTTCTACCTTTTTACTTGAATTATCCTAAACTTTATGCATTTATAGAACTATGTAACAATGCTAAAATCTGAAGAGCAGGCTGATAAATATCTGAATTAAAGGGGGAAAAAAGAAGATTCTTGGTATTGGGAAAAAACCTTAATCCCTAATTTGTTTGTGAAGGGGAAAAATATCGTTCATATTATAGAGTTGTGATAAACTCACGACAGACAGCTGTAAGGGCGGGGTAGAAAACAGTCCCAGAAGGTTAAAGGCCCTCTTCCCTATCAACTGGGGAGGGATGGCTACAGGTCAATCAGGTTCAGCTGAGATGGGGTTACCAGAGATCAATTAGGATCAGCTGAGAGAGAGTTACCTGAGGTCAATTAGGATCAGCTGATTCCAACTAAGGGCTTCCTGAGACCTTTTTAAACCCTCCCTCGGGGGGGTGGGGGGGGAGTCAAGCTGCCAGTAGGCGAGGAGCAGCAAAACAGCAAGCCTCACCAGGAGGGGGAGCTACATTCCCTCCCATAAGGGAGAAAAACAAGCCTAAAAAACTGGTTGAGATAAGGACGGACTGCCCCTGTGCAGCCAAGAGGGACTGTTTTACCCCAAGCCCGTCTTGCCAAGGCTAAAAACAGCTGAGGCTGGTGAGCCCGAGAAGGTGCCTTGCCATAAAGTATATTTTAATTTCATCATCATAGACACATTTCTTAGGCATGATTCCAATCTGTGTTGCACTGGTTTTAAACTGGTACAATTCTATTAACTTTAAAAATAATATATGAAGATATATCCATCTCATAGAACTGGAAGGGACCCTGAAAGGTCATTGAGTCCAGCCCCCCCACCTTCACTTGCAGGACCAAGTACTGATTTTTGCCCCATATCCCTAAGTGGCCCCCTCAAGAATTGAACTCACAACCTTGGGTTTAGCAGGCCAATGCTCAAACCACTGAGCTATCCCTCCCCCTTCAGTAGACTTACCACGACTATAGCAACATAAGTGAGAATAGAATCAAGCCCTTACAGAATCTGTTTTATTACTTCAATTTTAACATTAAAAACATCTCACACAAGATATTTTTTTGCTAACATCAAACACTTCATTTCACTAAAAGTGTGAATTACTTACAGCCTGGGTCTCAAACAAGTCCACATAAAAGCCCAGCATCAAGGCAAAATGTACTACTGCATAGACAGAAAGATATATTGGCAATTTGGGATTGAATGGAACCTCTTTTCCAGTGATCTACATGCATCAAAACAGATAATAGTCTTCGTTAGTAATCTATTTCATCATGTTATCCTTTCGTACCTATGTTAATTGCAAATACCAAGTGATTAAGGGTCATATTTAATGGCACATAACTAGTCACTTAGGAATGTGGGGAAGAAAGGTAGAAGAGTGCTGTTATCAAAATATATACATAATCTACTATGAGAAATAGATTAAAATAAAGGTTTTTTTAAGTGCTACTTTATGCAAAACATTTGAAAATCTCTCTCAAATGAATGATGAAAAGATCTTTGAAATATAAAAGTCTATATGTGTCTACTCTTTTACTCAAATATAAAGGGAAAACACAGCTAAAACTTCCATTTCATTAAGTCTCTGTTTCATTTCCCTCTTCTTTAATACTGCTAATTTAAGATGGTACAAGTAGAGTTTTTAACCTTGATCCAATAGCACTAATAGGGCAAGTAAATTATATGCAACTGAAAGCCTGCTATATATTCAATTTACCACTGGGATTTCCTCAGGAAGGCCGAGTCTAGGTTTTCCTGGTCCCCAACCTGGGCCTTTGAATATTACAGAGAGTTTATTACTAAATCCAGGTGTGGCCCAAAATGTGCTCCATATATAAGCCAAGTGACATAACTGTGAAGACATAAGTAATTGTCCATATTTATTATTAAAAATAGCAATTTAGCAAAACATTTACTTTACCCTGCTTTACCAAGGGACTGATATTCAGAGGTTCTGAGAACTCAAAATTCCAGTGAAAATGCAGAAATGTTTCACTAACAGTTCTGAATGGAACCTTCTACGTGTAACTATTTCTAGGTCTAAATGCCACTCAGAAATCCCCATGTTTCACATCAAATATCAGACTAATTTATTGGTAGAACACACTTTTCTGGGCCAGTACATGGGTTTAAGTTCCACAGCAGGACCCAGGCTCAGGGATCAGACTGCCATACAGTCATAAGGGGAACTGCAGTGTTAGAGACACTGGACCAGATTCTGTTCTGATTCTCATCCTGTGCATCCCCGTTATCTTTGAAATGAGATTTGAAACAAGTGGAAGGTAAACAATCTTTTGGGTTTTGTGAAAAGAGGCAAGGTTAATTGTCACCCCTTAGCCAACAATCTTCCTCAATTAAACAGATTCCAATGTTCAAACTGTATCTCAGCTTTTATTGAGCGCATGTTGGCTGCTGCATTTACTGCCAACAGTAACATTAATTAATTGTTTAATAAATCATTCTGGGATACCCTGAATGTCAAAGGTAATAAATAGATGTGTTAAAAACAAATTATATAAGACATCAGACTGGGGAATTGCTTCTAAAAGAGCAATATTTAGAGCAGATATATGTAACAAATAAAATACACTTTGTATCTCTACCACCTGCTCATAAAGAATGTTATCCTAACTTAGCAAGGCAAAAGACTAATCATTACATGAACATAACTCATCCCTTTTGTAAATCCACTGATTTCAGTGGTGTCACAACATGAATAATTTTCACCCATTGCATTTTCACCACCAGTGTGCACAGCTGAACCCTTCATCCTTATGAGAACACTGAAATATACTACAGCGAGAAATGATAAGATAATAATTGAGATTTGCATAAATATTTTATATGTGGTTTATATGAAATGGTTTAAACCATTGACATGTGCCAGAGTTACAGTAAACACTTCAAATAATTACAAAACAATCTATAGTACAGTATAGTTTGCCTCCAGTCTCTCAAAAATGTACATTTCTTTTGAATATAAGTTCATGCTAAAATATATAAGTTCAATAAGAAAAAATACATTACCTGGACCTTGAAAGGTTCAAATGTATTTATTGGGTGTGTTAGGCCATATATAACTTTATCATCTTCTGCCACAAATGTTCCTGGAAGGAGGAAAAATAATCAAGCTTAAGAGCATAAAACTTCCTATTTGCAACATTAATTAACATTAGCAACAGCAATTTATTTCACTTACCAAAAATTCTGTCCCAAATAATGAGGGTACCACCATAATTTTTGTCAATGCAGTAAGGATTTCTGCCTATAAAAAAAAATATTCAGTGCAATTATGAAAAATCTGTGAATTCTACAAACTTCAACTGAAGTAGTGAATCTCTATTGTAAGTCTGATTTTCTTACCTACTAACCGAGATAGGAGGTGGCTAACCTTCCACTGTTAACCAGCTATAACTTTTCTTATGCCTTACATCTGACTACTAAAATATAGCTCAGGGTAAAAACATATTCATCATTATTGCAACTTACCTGAAGTCAATGGAATTACGCCTGGGGTGGATTTACCCCAACATGTATGTACATACAAAAGTTAAAAAACAAACAAACAAACAAACAGAAAAATCACCAAAAATGATCCACATTGTAGCTAACAAGATATATGCCAAATATACACAAAATATGTACAATGATCTCATGAATGACTTCCTGTTGCCTCCTGTACACCTCCTATTTTATAGGCCTGATCTCGCCCCCCACTTAAATCATGAGGAGCTCTGCTAATGACTTAATTGTGAGCAGGATCAATCTCTCTATCTAGTACAGGGCTCCACGTCTTTAAGTTTTCTGCATGTGCAAGTAGTTCCATTAAAGTCAATGAGCTAAATTCTGCCCTCAATTACCCTAACTGGATTACTCTGGTGAAGTCAATGGAGTTAAACCTGTGCATCACTTGTGTAAACCTGATTAGACTCAGGGCGGATAGGCTCACTCTGGATTTATGGCAGTGAAAATGAGACCACAATTTGGACTGTCAATACTTATGCAAATTTGCAGGATTGGACACTTACAGAACCCACCCTTTTAAATATCTGTACAGTGCCATAAACACTTAACACATAGCTATAATAAATAGCTACAACATCCGCTGTACATTTAGCTATATTTGAGCGTGGTTCAAATTAGTATATTAAGTTTCTCCATCTCCCTGTTATTGTTCTACTTATTATCTCTGCTCTTTACAAGATACTCAGTGAATGAGCCTTGCAAGTTGCCCAGTGGATGAGCCAGGGGCACCTCTGGAGCCCCGCCTTATTCACTGCACATTTCCCAACACTCTTTACTATGCCATTAAATTAACCAATCACATATGTACACTACAGCCTACCCTTACTCTGAATATTGCTGAAAATTATGAAAAAAGTAATATCAGTTGTATTGCACATGTGCAAAATGGGCTTTTCAATAATGCAGTAGAATGAAAACTGGAACAGCCAAATGCAGTTCTTCTAAAACAGGGCCAATTCTATGCTGATATTGAGTGTTTGACTTTAAGGTGCAAGAACAGTTGAAAATGGGTTACCATATTTATTTATTTTTAACAATGGAGAGAGAAGGATTTGCTATTCCCATCACACTTCTCATATTCACAAATGCTGAATTGTTTTGCACAAACTGTCCACAGTAATTCACATTTGGACAGAAACCAATCTGAAAAATGTCAGTCTGACACGTAAATGTTTTGAAGTTATAACTCACTGATAAAAGGTTTTAATAAAAGTCCTTATGAAACTTTAGAGTGATTATTACTGTTCTCCCTATAATGTTTTTTTTAAAAACACCAGTCACATTTCCTCCTTTCTGTACATTTTAAATATAATATAAATAATGACAGTTAGAAAACAAACAATGGAAAATCAGACAACCTGGTATTGCTTACCATGGTGAACTCTGTGGTGACTGGGAGTATTAAGAATCAGCTCCAGAGGTCCAAGGGTGTTAACTACCTTTAAACAAAATTATCTTGTAAATAAATTGGCATGGACCGTGTAAAATCAAGCAAAAAGAGGAGGAAACATTGGCAGAGGGGAGACACATAAGGAAGCTAATTTTCCCTTACAAAGAGAACTGCATCTGGGAAGGTTTTTCCATAAAGGAACACTGTACAAGTTAACATAACTTACTAAAACTGTTATATTCTATTGTCAGCTACAACATAATAGGAATTTTTATGAAACTTGTGTATAGTAAAAGCACCATAATGCAAACTACAATTGGGATTGTTTTCTATGCTTAATCATTTAATATATAAAATAAATTGCTGGCCTATTTAAATTTTATTACATTGCTCATAATTCCATAGGGCTCTATTCATACATTTGCTACCTGTTCATGTAGCCTTTGTCACCAGAGCCCCTCAGAGACTAAACGTAATTCTAGTCTAGGCTGCAAAATCACCTCCATTAGAGCCCTTTCCAGAAACGCTCACTCCCGTAAGTAAACCTACTCATCGTCTGAGGAGAATGTATCAATCTTCAGAGCACATTCCAAAATAATACCTGTTTTCCATGACTGATCATTTGACATTGTGATTACTCACCATTAGCAAAAAAAAAAAAAAACCCCACCAAGTAAAGCTTCCTAGAACCTAGGAAATGTGAAGAGCAGAATCTGTCATGTCATCCTTTATGGATGTTTTCTGTGTGAACCTAATTACTGTATTTCATGCTTAAACACTACAACAATCGGTGCTCTGTAATATCTTCATAATGATGGAGATGATAGAATCCAGATAAGATAGGGAGGCAGGCAGTCATTGCCCATGAGAGTAGATACCCTCATTTCAATGGGTCTAACTGGGTAAGGTTTGCATATAAAGGTTACAGGATCAGCCCCTTAAACTTGAAGGGCACCCCAATTCTGCTTACAGCCACTGCACCTGTGTAACTGAAGATACAATTCTGCTCAAAATGCATCAACTGAAGCTTTTGCGGACAGATTTCATCCTCCATCAGGAGAATGTCCACATGGGAAGAAGAGAATCATTTTATACTTATTTGTCTCTCCCTGGCTGAATATGTGGTGTAAAAATAAACACCAACAAAAACTGCTGTTGGCCAATGAATAGATTGGGTGTGGTATACAGCCAAAATTAAAGCAGTGTGGAAATTGGCAAATTGGTTCAGGTGAAGAACACTCTAACTTTACTGTTTTTTATCTGTCACAGCCTCCCCCTCCCCGCTCCCCAGAGTTGTGAGGGGAAGTTCTGCATATGAAGGCTGGAATACTAAAGAGTTTTTTATTATTTTATATTCACAAGCCAAGGACAATATAAGCAGGCACATTTGAATTTCCAAATGCTGTCTCCAAATAATTTCAAGCCTGAAAAGACCACCTAAGGGTGAGAAACAATTAATCATTCAGGCTAGCTCTGTTTCCATCCTCTCTCAAGCAGCAAATCCCACTGTTTCAAACTATGTGAGATCTGATCACTAAATTAATATAATCTGAGTCAAAGAACTAGCTTGCGCTTCAGTCCAACACCTGAAAGATAAGTAATTTATCTTCTAGACCACACCTAACTATGACCCACTTAGTTTCAATATGATTTTAACTAAATATTTAAATATACATTTTTTTAAGCCAGACTTAGAGTACCGTAGTGGGGAGCACAATGCAAAGGGTTAGTGGTTTCAACTCTCAGTCTACAGGTAGGTTATAACAAGTCATTGACAACGTAGATACCTTCACAGTTTTTAATGTCCAATTGATTAAATCTGTACACAAAAATTGCTAATAAAATTTATCCTCCGAAAGGTTGAACTGTACCTAAGTGTGCTGAAGTAACACTCCATGTCTTCTCCCTCCCAGGGAATCTCAGGAATATGAGTAACATTTTAAATAAATACATTTGACTAATGTTAATGAGAGTATTTTCTTTGGAAAATGCAGTCTCTCATGATAATAACCCTAAGCTGTAGAACAGTCTTTCTTGAGCAGTGACATTTGCAAGTTTGCATTGTTAATGATTAATGCTTTAGAGTACCATTCTTCAATTTATTACTCAACCACACTCACCTCTACTGCAGAGAAACAGTAGTGACACACTGATGAAAATATTCTCTAAGATTGCAATCACAAGTGTTCTATTTTCAACCTGAAAAGCTCTTGAAGATTTGCAGACCCCGACCTAACAAATGCCTGACATGTTGAAAGTAGCAAAACATAAACCCAAGTTTCTGCCAAGATACAATGAAAAATACATTTTCACCTAATATCTAGAAGCAAAACTACACTAATTTTAGAAACTTAATTTGCTTTAAGTGATATATCTACCTCTTTTGAATAGTAAGAATTCTTACTACATAATAAAATTACAATTACTTTATAAATATTATCCTCATGTATATAGGGCTATATAGGGCTCTATTCCAGCGGAAAAACACACATCTGGAAAGCTCATTTTTCAAGGTTCCTGCAGTCGTGCATGGCAAAGAAGCCAGACATTTTTGCTGAATCGGATTCTAAGAGTCAAATCTTGCCATCCTTACTCAGGCAAAACTCCCAGGGGCAGATCCTTGGGTGGAGTAAACTGTTTAGTTATGGAGCTTTGATAATTTACACAGTCTGAGGATCTGCCTCCCGCTTCACCAAATGAGGTCAAGGGGAGTTTCACTTCAGTGAGGATAAAAGGATTTAACTTTACATGAATAAACGTCCACCAATCTTAAACATGAACACATCAAGTTATAATGATCGCCTCGAAAATGAAGCAGGCGACAAACAGGAGAGGAGGAATATGTGAACCAGTAGCAGTTACTTCACCTGTATAATAGGAGTAGTGTAACGTCCCTTTAGCAAAACCTTCAGCTCCTAGCACAGACATATTGCCACATCTTGATTCTGTACAGTTATGCCCCTTGTAAGACATTGATTGCTATTGGTAATACCAATGGCAATAATCCCTTGTGCTCGTGTTATGGCTCTACCCTGCTGTAAAGGTAAAACTGTCGCTCTATCCCAATCACTAGAGTTGGCTGAAACTTTAAATATTTTTTTTTCAAAAATGGCCTTTTAAAATAATTTTTTTCACACACAAAAATTGCCACAGTCTTGTTTTTTTCAAAAAAAAAAACATCATTCATGTTCAAATTTATTTATTTTTTTAAATTTAAAGTGTTACTGTAATGGTTATCAATTTTTTTCATTTACCATAAATAGGATTTTCAGTAAACAAAAGATTTCAATATTGTTGTAGCCATATTGGTCCCAGGTTATTAGGGAGACAACGTGGGTGAGGTAATATCTTTTATTGGACTACCTTCTGTTGGTGAGAGAGACAAGCTTTCGAGCTTACACAGAGCTGAAGAAGAACTGTGTGTAAACTCTAAAGCTTGTCTCTCTCACCAACAGAAGGTACTCCAATAAAAGATATGACCTCTTCCACCTTGTCTCTCTAAAAGATTTCAATAACATTTAAGATTTTTATTTAAAGACTTACTTTTTTAAAATGGTCGGTTTCAAACACTCTGAAAAATTTGGAATTTTTTTGTGAAAATAGATTTTCATTTTTCAATCTGCTCTATCAGTCATAAATGAGACAACCAGAATTTGCCCCAAAATTTCATTTTATTTAAGAGGAAAATGTTTTTCCATGAAAGAACTTTTTTTTAAAAAAAAAAAACATTTGTAAGGAAAAAGGATGGATGCAGCACAAGCAATTTTTTTGGTCTTTGATCTCTGCCTTTGAAAATTCATAATTTCTAAGCGTCAAAAGATTAGACGATACTAAAAAGAAACTTAAGGATGTAGGATATGGGGGAGAGAAAGTGTGTGTGCACACACATGTGTGTGAGAGAGTGTATCTAAGTGTTAGTGAGTGTATATAAAACATGCCAGTTCACACGTAAGGGTGTATATATAAAGCAAGCCTGTTCTCTGCAACATCCTTTTGCAGCTACTTTGGAAATGCAGCAAAACAATAGCTACTAATATGTTAAATAAAGTCCAATATGTTGTCCAACTGTGACCTCATCCCTATTTTGAACAAAATGGCTGTTTTCTTATGCCTGTGTTTGCCTTCTATGCACAACCACCTACTGTTCTAAATCAAGTCCTGTCTACAATTTTTCCTCCCTGAATTAGCACACCATGTGCACCTCAATTCCCCTATCAGCGACCCATAGATGAACTGCAGGATTCCAATAAAAGTTCATTTTGCTTGTTACTTTGTTTGTTTTTTAAAAACCCACAGCCACAGAAAAGTCTCATTTGACAGTCCTCTTGCAAATGGACTTTAGAAATAAACTGCTTATGAGCCAAATGCACAGGTATCTTAAATGTGCCACTTACAAAAGCTCCATTCAGAATTCTTCACAAAACATGTATTCTGCATCTGATTTCTTTTTAACAGAGTACCTCTCCGTTATTGTGCTTAGCTAGTGCTACACAATGTAATAGAATTACAATTAAAATATTTTAAAGTAATTCCCCAACACCAGTTTAATACACTTGACAGGTTCCAAGCTGTATCCTCAGAAACTCCTTCCATGTATTATTAATCAAAATGTATTGGCAATGAAATAAAGCTATGGTACATAACTGGAAATATAAAATTTTTATATAGGAACATATTTATATAAAGATGTTTCCTTTGTGACAGCAAAACCTAGAGTGGAGGAAAAGAACATAAATGCAGCAACCTCTCTTGTGGCATGTAAGCACCTCCATTTGCGGTCTCAAGGTTTGTCAGCACCAAGGGAAATCTTTATTGCCTGGTACCTGCACCACTTCAATGCAGTTCTTGTTTAAATAATGAGAAAAAATCGTGACATGAAATCCAAGGGAAACTTTACATCTTGTGTAACAACTCCTCCTGTCACCACTACAACATGAATCTTTATTTCAGCTCTATTTCGACCTGAATGTTAGAAAAAAATGTAGACTGAGTAAAACAGGCAATGTTACAGTAAAACCATTTGTGAAGAAAGGGAATTTTTCACCGTAA